TACCATGCACTGGTAATTATCCCTCAGTTTTCCATAATTTATTCAATCAATTTGTTCCTATGTATAGATATAGATATTTCTATATAGGTAAATAGTTAGATATAATTTTTTTTTTCTAGATATTAAAAATGACTTCATATGTATTATGTTATTATATATTAAGACATATATTGCATTTAATATATATATATATATATATATATATATATATATGAAATATATATATTAATTTTTTTTATTTCTCAGTTAAAATTGTATCTATGAAATATATTTCAAATGCAATGAGGGATATTTTTAATGTACAATGACGGCATCGCTTTTTGGAGAAAGAACAGCGACCTAAACGAGCATCTCCATTCAGAGAAAAAAGATAACCAAAATTTTGCGGATTTCTGAAAAATAATTTGTCTTTCTATGCGCGATCATGCCGTTTAAAGTGGAGCTGGTGGGGTTGGTGGTCTTAAAATGATGCACCAGCGCCCTCTGCTGGAGACCGACAACATTATTAGTGTAGTTTATTACTAGAACCTGGAATAATGAAGGGTTGCGGATGGGTTGGTCTCGAATGTGAATACTTGTAATAATCTATCGATGCAATATCATGAGAATTATTGAGTTACATACTGCTCCGATCGATTATGGCATGGCTGAAGGAAGGAAGATGTCTCTATTGACTGGAGGACATGCGCAGTTGAAAAGAGACAAAGAGGAAGGAGTGGGTGGTGGTGGCAGATGAAAATCTATTCACTGCTATATTTCTGTCACGCCAGGCAGCGATGATTTTAAAGCACCAGATCGTGAAGGTCCAAGCCACACCCTGACTGTAAGCAACATTCAAGCACAACTTCAAATGCGACCAATCAATGGAGGTAAACAAGAGGGAAGACCACGCCTCTTATACATACTTCATAAAAATGCCTTTATGTGAGGGGTCAAATGGTTAATTTTAGCCTTTATTACAAAGAAGCCAATCCTCCGCTGTAATACTTGCGGTCGCACCACCCCTTATTTGTGATGTTTAACAAAGAGGGCCAATCACAGGCCCCAGTGTTTCATCAAAACAGACTCCTTTGTCATAAAAACATCCGGACCCAAGGTGAAGCTGTACAGACAACCGCCTGTTTGTTATTGTGGAGAGAGTCCATCCTCGCAACTTAGTGCCATCTCACTGTTGTGGGAAAATGTTCTTCTTGGGGAGGATGATTACTCATTTTATGTAATTAGCTAGATCATAAATTGTCTAATATATATATATACATATATATATATACACACACACACACACACACACAAAACATTTAATAGTAGAAAACTGAACTTTACTGTAGTAAACATTATTTGACAAAAAAGCAGACTTTTTGTGTTCTTTTAAATCCCACCAATTACATTTTTTCTTTCTTACCATAACTCGAGCAGATACCTAAATGTGATTTATTTTTAAATTAAAATAATATGCGTACACAACTACAAACTTCAGATTTTTCAACTTTTGGGAGATTTTCGTCAGTCATACAACAGCTTGTTTATATATATATATATATATATATATATAATGCAATTAAATTATAGGAAATCTAGTGTTACAGTCTAGCTTATGTATACATTTATCAAAATATGAATGTCTAGGTAATGTGTTATCTTGTCTATATTGTTGTTCATATCATGGTTAAACTATTGTCATTGAACGTTGTATCTTGTCTTATGTTTACAACCGCGAAACCAGAGAATGTTATTCAATTGAATGAAGCACAATATTTCCCTACTTTTACAGTGAAACCGATACACAGATAATGCATAATATCGTGTCGATGTAAAAGGACAAATGCGTATTGCCGCAGTAACAATAATAACAACAACTACAGTGTGGTGTTATCTATTAATCAGGCGATCGCGTCGGGCCTCTGTTTCCTGCTTGTGAGCGCTATGCTTGGGTCCTGACGCGGAGCCCGTGCAGGGCCGTACTGGAGACCCCGCGCCGCCTGCACCTCTATCGTCTCGGGTGAGTTTGATACAATGTAGCGATTTCTCTATAATTCTCAATAACTATTGCAATGCTGCAACATTCGCATGCAGACCTCACCTCTTCCTGCTTCATATAGCCGGCCCGCTGCATAGGTCGGTGAATAGGGTGATTTTACAGCGAATTCCCAAGCATACCCCCTGATCCAAGAGTATTCCAACATAAACTCATATTTAGCAGGGATAAAGATAGGCTACGCAATTGCGTCTATTGGAGCCAGAACACCAAATATTCACCAATTATGTGCATTGGCTCCAGTGAATGCGCTCTTACGGCATAAATACTACGTGTTTACAGTCAGTGATTGTCATATTCGTTCGTATTGCGTCTGTAAACGCACATATTACAGCTAGGAAGCTAGCTAGCCACAGCTAACTGAATCTTCTGCAGAACGAGCGTCAAAAAGGCGAATTAAAGGCGTGTTGTGCGGTTAAACTTGCAAAATGGTTGCAGATAAAAGCATGTGCACTAGAGGGAATGTCGAGCGAGTTATTACAGCTTTACAAATGCGAAAAATAACCGCCGTGTCCTGCAGGTCCAGAGTGTCCATTCACGTCTCCGGTGCTCTTCTGATGCGAGATGCTCTCAAAATGCCCGAAAACAAGTCTCTGACAGAAGAAGGTCTCGCAGATGTTTGTTAATGATGGTCTGTGTGCTCTTCGCAGAGACTGTTTAACCCCTAACAAACATTAGTGGCGTCCCCGCCTACCTCATCCTCATTTTGTGGTTTTGATTTGTTTAGATCGAGACTGTGACCAGGAACAGCACAGCGACTCGCCAAAGTCGTGAAAATTGTTGCGCGTGAGTCTGTAAATCGTGATATTTGACTCTCGGTGGTGTTTTTCTGTCTGTGAGACAGTGTGAGGTGATGCGCGCGCTTTTCCCTCGACTTGTCTCGCGCTTACAGACAGTGCACGAAAGTTCAGCTGCTGTGCTTTCAAAGGATATGAAAACGTTCACTCGTTTTATATTGTTATCAATATACAAAGTATCGGAATGCTTTATATTTCAATATACGTTTGTATTGAACCTAAATCGATCCGTGTAGTGTTTCAGTGATCGAATTTATTTCACCAGAACAACTTAATGCTGGGTTAATATTAATTTCATGATTCAACATTCTTGGATATATGGATGGATAATACCAAAAGCTTGTTGACTTGTTTGTATGTTATATTTATTTTATTTATTATTTTTTTTTTATATATAAATGTATTTTCTTTTCTTTTTTTGACACATGACACTCACCAACGAAAGGTTTACCATGTCTTGCATTTTTACGTTGCAGTCTGCCTTTAATATTTGCATTTTTTTGTCAACAGTGATTTATTTTCTTTAGATTGAAATTGATAGTATTTGAAACAGTGTAATTCTTGAAAAGCTTTTCATGAATTTGTGTTAATTGTTCTGCTTTGTTTTCATTAGTCTGCATGGTCCCATTCAAATATCAAATTGACTCTGTGAATTAAATGACCTACATCTCACTACTGAGGAAGTATTTGCCT